CGAACATATTGGGTGATATCGAATCTGTCCACGCCTAACGGACTGACATTCTTTTGGTGCGCATTACTCATTTCTCGAAAACAGCGATAGCTAAAAGTTGGTTATGACATTTTGTATAGGTTAAAAAAAGTTACTGAATGTGTTTTGTTCGTTCGTTTATGTGATCAGAAATATATGTCGTGACGGATGAACCAAAAATAAAGTATCAGTTACTACGGAAAGATGTTCACTTCCCGCTTATCTAGAAGTCTGATAAAAAACTATTTTCTACAGGAATTGTAGCTAAGAAGTTGGTCTATCTAACAGTAAAAAGAAAATGCTTAGTAGTGTTTTGTTTTGAGTTGAAATAGAGAGAAGGAAATTGGAAAAATTAAAAATTAAATTGTTTTCTCATATGTGAATAAGCTTCAATTATCATTGAACACCAGCACCAAAATAAAGCAAATACTTTTGTCTAACAAATACCGTATGATTGAGATGCTGTGTATGATGATTAAAGAAAAGTAGGATTTGGAATGGAGTAACATCAGAAAATAATTGATTGGTTGACACGCAATTGATGACAAATTAATTGAATTGTAGTTGTTAATAAAAAAACTATTCATTGACCAAAAGCCTTCTGTGAAGTTTTTCAAACTATTTCCTGAATGTTAGTTGACCAGGATAAACGATTAAAGCATATTTTTTCGCTTCTGCTGAATGTAACTGTTGTGTAGTTATGAAGATGTCAAATGAAGAAATGAAGTTTTATACAAAATATCGATATCTTGTTCTTGTAGTGCTTTATTTGACGTTAGATAGAAAAACGTATTACATAGCTTCAACTACTAGATATTCTTTTTCAAATTCAGAAATATTTTTTCAGTTATGATTCATTTTCGGCATACTGGTACTCATCATTCATTTTTTATTTAGATCTATTCTCGATCAAATATTGATTAATAATTCGAAATACATGAATGATGCCTTTTGTTTATACGATCCACTGGAGCATATGACACACATCGGAAGACTGTCCTTTTGTCGAATGTGTCACATCTGTTTTCAGTGCTTCACAGACATGATTAATATCTGTCTTCAGAATATTTGCACTGTTTTAGATATTTAATTTTTTATAACTCTGAAAATGAATTCGTGATTCGAAAGCTCTGATTGAAATTGATTGACTAAATAAGTAAAATAAAACATGAATTCAGCTGCGATCAATGATAGAGAAGAAATTTTTATGAAAGATGTCCTGCTAGTAGCAAAAGTCAATAAGAACATTTGATTTCTATCACTAAGTCTTTCAATTTAATATTCAAAAAATTTATCTCACTGTAAATAATTAAAATCTCTTCAAATGACACTAGACCATGATTTAATCAAATAATGCTAAATTTTATCGTTTCAGAAACTCTTCTGTTTAAACAGTCTGCGATTCACAGACTGTGAATGAAATCAAAGATAAATTTTCAAGAATCTCCTTAATCAATGAGTACGTTTGCTACTCTTATGAATAATTTTAATTATCTGATCGTTTATCATAGAACTTCTTATCATTAATTCAATACAAATATCATTTGGATGCCCGAAAAGAGTATGATTTTGATTAAATCCAAATATATTTTCGCAGTTATGATTCAATATCATTTAAAGATGAGTCATCATCATCTCATTTTAATAATACACTATCATTAATGGTAAGGTAATTCTGATAACAAGTCGAAAATGGACGTCCTATAGCAAGCATCCAGAAAAAATGACCAAAAACAACTACATGGATTAGTTTTCAGAACAAAATGCAAGAACTGAGTGAAAATCTATTTTAAGTGAAACCTAGTCTAATAATGTTTTATTTGCAGTATACACTGTTAAAAAACTGTGTTCTTCACACTAGAAAATTCACTTCTTGATCGGACGTGTTTTTCTCTTTTCCTCTTACACTTATATACATACATAGTACGTAATTCTTATTCGTACTTTCTCTTTGTCTGGTACCACGTGGGTACACGTGACCATCAAAAAATATTATTTTTGTCAGCTATTTTTATTGAATAATCAGTTGATAGTATGTCAACTAATTATCAAAATTACTATGTTAATGCGAATATGTATCCTAATAATCGCCAAAATTCTTATTCAACAGCTCACATTGTAAGTAACTCATTGGATTTAGTTAACGATTATGTTTATGATCCTAATATACAAATTCATTATAATATGTATCGAAACGTTGGCCAAAATCGTGTTCCCGCACCGTCTGCTACCAACTTAATGCCTGTGAACTCACCAGCAAGATCGGTCCGTCGTATGCACTCAGGAGATTCTGAAGAAGACGATTTCACAACGGTCTCACATAAGAAAAAAAGAAATAGTAATCGTTCCAACAATTATCAACAGCAACGTCAACAACAGAATGATTTTCACACTTCCCCCTCTAACCAAACAAATCAACCGTTTAGTCAACGTACAGCAACAAATTTAAATCTAAACCAACAGAATTATCAACAAAATCAGAATATATCAATAGAAGCAACACGGTACGCGCTAACACGGTTCCCTTTTCAACCGTTTATTATTCGTTTTTCATCCGGAAACGTCCCGGATAAACAAGCGGCTGAAGAAGTGTTATTACATTATAAACATAATCGTCAAATTGATATCTTAATTAACAATTATCGCTCGTCAACATTGAAATGTGGAGCTAATGAGTATGATATTCTTTTATATGTTAAGGATGCAAATTCGTTCACATTTTTATTCGACAAACAAAAATAGCCACTTCAAATTGGTGGAGAAAATTTTATTTTTCCCTCAACACCGTCAATCCCTCCACAACTTGCTCTCATGATCAAAAATGTTGATCTTAAGGTCGACATAAACGGATTATCGGGGGATCTAAAAGCACTTTTTCCAGAAATTCATAACGTGGCGAGATTAAAAAATAAATTTCAACAGAATATTAGAATGGTTAAAGTGGATTTGCATCTGCTACGATTCGTGATGATATCTTAAACAGTGGTAAAATTAGTGTTAATTTTAGAAGTTATGATATTGAAGAATATCTTGCGCCAGCATGTGTTTTGATTTGCTCAAGATGTATGTGAATAGGGTATTTCAAAAAGCAATGCACTCAATTAAATGAAACATGTAAAATTCGTGGACAATCTTCTCTCGATCTAAAACAACATAATTGTACAATGCAACCAAAATGTGTTCACTGTGCTGGGAATCATTATTCAAATGCTGTTAAATGTCCAATAGTTAAACAGTATCGTGCTGAATTAACCAAAAAACTGCTGTCGGTTAATTGTACAGCAACAACAGAAATCAACAATTTGCTCTACAACCCTGCTAATTTTCCACCATTGCATCCATCACAAAAAGTATCAATTGCAGGAACAAACAACATGCTTAGGACAAAATTAGATGAACTGGTTAATAATATGTCAAAAATGAACGAGGCATTGGATAAAATAGTTGCTAAGAATGAGAAAGTGGAACAGTTTATGCACGATAAAATTAGAAGTGATAAAATTATTGCAGATGATATCGAATTACTAAAAAAGAATGATAAAACGCTTGAAACTAATTTGGTGCAACATGAATTAAAACTAAAGCGACATGAAAATCTAACAACTAAGCATGAAGATATTTTCTCTAAATTGATGTTACCAACTTTAAATGAAATGTCAAAGGTCATATTATCATTCAATCAAGATAGACAAGGACGATCAATTGATCGTAGTTTGAAGACTAACTTGGAAGTTATGCGTAAACAACTGAAACTGGCCATGGAAGGTAAAATCTATTAATGTCTCTGTCCCCATCAGCGATCCCTTTTTTTTATTGTACCCCTCAATCAGTATTGACCAAGAGAGAAGTTTTTCTATGTAATGCAAAAGCATGCTTATCTGAGTTCGATTTTACTCTTCTTCAACAAATCCTGTACGAATGAGAAAGTAGTCCTGTGTTATCTTCTTGTTTTTCTAATTGGGAACATTTTCGGCGAATAGAATCTGTTTCTATTGTAAATTCTCTTCATGTTTTATCTTTTAATGTTCGAGGGTTAGACCTACGCTGTAATGAGGTTCTTCTTCTCTCTACAACTTTCAGCTTTGATGTTCTAATTCTTCTCGAAACAGGTCAGATGGATTTCTCCTTCTGCACACAAGCTTTCTCGAATTACAAGCTTTTTTATCAGCATGGAGAAAACAGTAATGGTGGCGTAATGATGTTGGTTAGAAACGTACTAAAAACGAAAAGAATTGATTGTGCGCTGCC